TCCTCTGTCCTCACTCTGTCCTCTGCATCCTCTGTCCTCACTCTGTCTTCTGCATCCTCTGTCCTCACTCCATCCACCTCCATTTTCTCTCTAACTGCATCCATATATCTCCTCTTTGTCTTTTTCCTGGCAGCTGCATTTCTAACATCCTTCTACCAGTATACCCACTGTCTCTCCTCTGGACATGTTCAAACCACTGTCCCTCCTTTGGATATGTCCAAACCACTGTCCCTCCTCTGGACATGTCCAAACCATCTCAGTCTCTAACTTTATCTCCCAGTTGTTCAACCTGTATTGTACCTCTGATGATCTCATTCCTGATCTTATCCATCCTTGACACTCCTAAGAAGAACCTCAGCATCTTCATTTCTGCCACTTCCAGTTCTGTCTCCTGTCTTTTTGTCCACGTCTCTGTCCCTCTCCAGACCATACAACATAGCTGGTCTCACCACTGTATTGTAGATTTTTCCTTTGCCGTCTACCACTCATGCCACAAATCACTGCTGAAACTTTCCTCCATCCTGCCTGGATTCTCTTCATCACGTCTTTGCAGGACCAGGGAACAGTGGACTCCAGGTCCTTGAAGTCCTGCACCTTTGTCCTGTGATCCTTGTAGCTTCGTTTAAAACATTGTAAATATCTGTCATCAGCAGAAGGGTCTTCATTAATGCTGTTGCAGTCCTGAACGAAGCGGTCTTTATTGTGACTTCAGCTGAAATGGAAAAAGCTCTGAACGGTCCAGTCTTTCCGAGGACGTCTTGTGGTTTCTATTTTAGTGTTCTTCCATGGAACAGAGCTGCTGTCACACACCTGAACATGCAACGCTTGGAAAACAAGTTTCCTCAACTTCCGACATAAAAACACAATCGAGTCCAGCAAATACAGCAGCAAAGAGGAAAGAAGCATCCCACGGTTCTTTTTCAACACCAAGTGTCGGCCGTGTCCAACTAACAGAAAACATCACACGGTCTCAGGACTTGGCGCTGATCTGCAAACAGTTTAGCTGTGAACGAACGTTCGCACAATTTCAGGAGGCATTTATCAGCGCTAATAATAGGGAAATTATGATTTCTGGAGGAATTAAGAGGCTGGATGGCAGGCTCTGAAGAAGTGTGATCCAAAAAGCTTCACCACGGCGGCATGCCCACACGCCGTCAGTTATGGCACGAAATGAAAAATGTGACAGACAGGCAAAGAAATAACAACTGAACGCATCCTTTATGATCGGAGGCTGAAGAATCAGCGAAAAACAATATTTTTTAATCAAATCTCTTCCAAGAGAAACATCAAGTTCTGCACTAAAACAAAAACCTGAGGCTAGAAAAACTTTACATTAAAATAAAATCACAAATGTTAACATACTTGGACATAAAGTCATTTGGAAACTTTAAGAAAAGTCTCTAAAGCAAACAAATGTGACAACATTAAAGCTTTAAAATAACCCACACCTATCTTTCAAAGTTTAATTTCTCTTTAAGACTCACTTTCAGTCCAGTCGATGGTTGACTCTTTTGTTTTCAACCTTTATTTCTACAGGTTCGTCTCGTTGAGCCTCGAGGACTCATTTACAGAGAGACCTGATTGAAACTTTAATCAATAACATCATAAAGACAGAAAAACTATTTGCTTCGCCTGTTTTTGATGCATTTCAGTTCAAAACGATCGAAAAAAACCTGCATGTTTAAATCCCACCTGTGCGGAGTTTCTCTGACAGGTGATTTAATGAACTCGGAGCTGAAGCTAACGGACTGAACGGAACCGATAAACCGGCTGTAGACAGCTCCCTGGGCCACATGTTCCCCTGAAGTCTGGGTGAACACACTGTGGGCCGGCGGACGCCCTTGAGCCCAGTCAGAACCCTTCCTGCAGGTCTGGCAGGATGCGAAGACACACTCACCGCAGCTTTTTGTGGTTCCGATCCGGAACGAAAGACGATTAGCAGCCCAGCTAGAAGCGGCTTTCCTCTCAACACATCTGGCGCATTTCCACCAAGGTCCCTCCTGGCTTTGGACAGATGCCGGAGTCGGTTCCGGTTTCCAAACGACCGTGTGCTGCTTTAACAGGCTCTGCCGGGAAGCTCGACCGCCGCCGTTACCGCCTCGGCTAACTGTTAGCTTAGCGGCTCGGAGCTAAGCTAACTGATAGCTAAGCTAACTGTTAGCCTAGCCTCAGCGGCTCGGAGCTAACAGTAACATGAGCTGCTCGGCGGGGTGTGGCTGATGGTTCCCTGCGCTGCTAAACTGACAAACATAATGTCCCGCCCAACCGTTTAAAACACGCTCTTAAAATGGCCTAAATCCCGCACTCCATCATCAAACTGGACCCGAGCCGGATCCGTTATTTCCCCCCGTTTTTGTTCTGGTGAACGCAAGATGGCACAAAGCTGGGGCGGGACTCACTTCCACTTCCGGTCATGTTTCCGTTACAAGAATAAAACCGACCTACATGGAGCGACATCTGGTTCAGTGTTCAGTCAGCCTAAACGGAAATTTTCTCATCGTTTGAAAAATAAGTTACGGTTTTTCACTGTTTATAATGAAGGGCGTTAGACCTCACACTCCAACAAATATTAGTTACTGAAATATCAATCAAAAGGGTTTTTTTCCCACCTCGAGAAGAATTTAGCTGGGGGGGGGGGGGATAAATATTGGGGGGGGGGGAGTAAATAGTCATTTTATTTTATACATAAATAAACGTTAATGTAACCTTGCAACTGAAATAACCATATGTTTATTAATACAAAAAATAATTTTTGTTTTGTAAAAAACAATTATAAATAAATTATATATATTTTTTATATTATATTTATTATATTATTATAAATAAATTTATTGTTTCATTTTATGCTTATGTTTAATAAATGTTTTAATTCTGTACATATTGCAGCTTTTGACAATAAAGTGACTTTGACTTTTGGTAAACAGTGACATGTAGTCACCAGAACATGCTGAGAAATTGTGTTCAAGTTTGCATAAACCTTAGATACGAACATTAATCATTGTGTCTGAAACATATTAACACCAGAAACTTGAAGGCAACTGTAGGCTACATGAACTTCTCCTGAAGAGAGGTAAAAATGTAAAAAAATAAATTAAATTAAATAAAAATTAAACATTTCCACTCTTTTGTTGAACAAACCTGACATGCAAAAAAAAAAAAAAAAACTCAGTAGAAAATCCATCTTTAAAAAAAAAAATCATTGAAGTCAATAATCAGGTTTTCTGCCTCTCTGGAGTAAAAAAAAATGCATTGAACAGGTAAAGACTTTACTCCCTCTGAAAGTCCAGTTTAATCTCCTACAGCTCCCTCTGCTGGTTGTCTTGAGTCAATACATTGCACAGGTTCAATTTATTTACATGGTATTGTAATCTGTCTTGGGGAGTGGGGGTGGATAACTGAATGTGTGCCCTCTGGCGCCGGGTCCGCCCAACAGTATTCTAAAAGATCTAAGACATGTTCTAGTCACTAATAGAGCAAAACAATGCACCGAACAACAGCAGCACGATTCGGTTCGGCTATAGGTCACACGATTCGTGCGAGCGGAGTCGGGCTTGGAGCCAACCCCAGAACTAACATAAACTGGGATTTATTCAAAGTATGCAAGAAAAATACAGAAACAAGGCACCGAAAGTGAAAACGAAATAAATCTACAGCAGCATGGTCTTTTTGGCAGAGTGGTTCTGATGACAGTGACTTTATCTTAGCAACATGGTCCCGTCGGCACCATGGGACTATTGTGTGGTTCCATTCGGTACATCTCCACCTACATGTCACTGCTTGAGTGCAGCTACAGCGTGCGCTGTCAGGACATTATTACCTGCAGTGTCCCTTCAGTGAGGACTGAACTAGACAAAAGGGCCTTCTCCTACTCCGCTCCTGTTTCCTGGAATATCTTGAAAAAAAATCTGGAGCGCTCGAGTCTCGACCTCTCTAAGTGGCTTCAAACATCTGTTAAGTTTATGGGAAAAACCAACGCAGATGCTCCTGTTTTTAGTTTTCCACATCGCTTTATGCAGCAGTTTTTGTTTCGTTTTTATAATTTCTTTTATTTACTTTTCATTTTATATGTTTTTTTATATTATTGTCTATTGTTGTCTGTACCTCATCTGTGTTCTTTGTTTAAATCAGGTCTCTCTCTTTCAGTCCTCATGTGTCAGGTTCTGATTACCATACCATACCATTTTATTTATAAAGCACTTAAAACAAGGCGACAAGGCCAACCAAAGTGCTGTACAGACAGAACAACACGTAACACACAAAGCAAAATACAAAATGAAGTAAATCAGAATATAGACATAAAAACGATGCAGATAATAAATATGACGACTAACCTGTGTGAAGCAAACAGGTTCAAATCACAGATCATCTGGTGTTGAAAGCTACTGAATAGTAGTGGGTTTTTAAACGGGATTTGAAAACCGAGAGGGAGGGGGCCTGTCTGACAAGAAGAGGCAACTCGTTCCAAAGTCTTGGTCCTGCTACAGAGAAGGCCCTGTCACCTCAGCGCTTAAGACGAGTTCCTGGAACTGTGAGGAGCAACTGGTCCGCTGACCTCAGGGAACGTGGTGGGAAGGTTGTAGCAGATCAGAGAGATGGGGTGGGGGTGGGGGGTGCGAAGCTGTTCAGCAATTTGTAGACACACAGGAGTATTTTGAACTGAATTCGAAGGTGAACCAGTAGTGCAGTGAGGCCAAAACTGGTGTAATGTGTTCTCTCTTTTGTCTGTACTGGTTAAAAATTGGGCTGCTGCGTTCTGGACCAGTTGTAGTCGTGCAATGGAGGTCTGACTCACAGTCGGTCGGGTCCAGACCCCAACTATGGGAACCTTTGCTTTTTCAGTTTAAGAAAAAAAAAAAAAAAAAGTTTTAACTCGTTTCTTTCAAGTTTTATATGCGGTAAATAAAGGTTGAAAAAAAAAAAAGTTTATGTGTGTGCACAGATTAATCAGATCACACTCCTCTCGCGTGCTCATGCTTTTATTGTGGAGGTCTGACCGGATGTAGAGTGCTGTTGAAGTTCCGGTAAAGCTTGCGCGGCTGACAGCTGCGGGCTGCTCCTCTAATCCTCCTCCGGCGCAGTTTTTCTAAGCGGCAGCCTTCGTGACATCATGTCAGACTTTGAGGAGTTTGAGAAGCAGCTGACGGAGAACCGACAAGGTTCGTTTCCGCTTTTCATCTTTTTATTCCTCCGGATCTGCGTCCAAGCTAGCGGCTGCGCGCGCACACCGTTAGCTCCATTTAATGAATGAAAACATTTGTCCTGGTTCTGGTTCTGGTTCTGGTCCAGATTGAGCGTCTGGACGTTAACCTGAGCCCCGAAAACCTCAGCTCACCTGCTCGTTCAGGATTTTATCAGTAGAAGAAGTAAAACCTGTTCTATGAGTCAGCAGAGAAACTTGAACTCATGTTTTTAAACTGATCAGAGGAGGTTTCAGGTAAATGTACCTGTTCGATAATAAGCACACAACACTGGGAATTAACTGACCAGAAAGAAATCAATTCAGTTTATTGATAAAGTTCTAAGTCACAACAGAATCGTCTCAGGGCACTGAACAGACAAATTAAAAATAATAAGTTAACAGAAACATTCATATATAAAAATAATAATTTAACATTATTTATCTGAGGAGCAGACTGCTTTGAGTTTAACTCCATCACAGAACTCTCATCTTGAGCAAACATGAAGGCGACGGTGGAAAGGAAAAACTCCCTCATGAGGAAGAAACTTTTAGCAGAACCAGGCTCAGGCGTCATCTGCTTCGACCGGCTGGGTTTGAGAGGAACAGATACACAATGGCAGGTCGAGAATCACATGTTAAGATAGAAATGGTATCAAATGAAAACTATTCAATTTTAACAATTCATTTAAGGAAATTACGTCAATTTGTCCTCTAGTAGTCTAAGCCTATAGCGGCATAACAGTCCAACCCCAACTATAGGATTTATCAAAAAGGAAAGTCTTAAAACTGGACAATGTGTCGGCCTCACAACAGAAACTGGAAGTCGGTTCCACAAGAGAGGAGCCTGATAACTGAAAGATCTTCCTCCCAGTCTGCTTTTCTCTAGGAACCACAAGAAAACCTACAGTCAGAGAGTGAAGTGCTCCGTTAGGAAAATATGGAACAATACGATCTCGAATATAAGATGGAGATAGGTTGTTGAGGGCTTTGTAGGTTAGAAGTAAGATTTTGAATTCAATTCTGGATTTGACAGGGAGCCAGTGGAGAGAAGTTAAAACTGGAGAGATATGATCTCCCACTAGAGACAAATGAAGCAGATCAAGACGTGGTTATTAGTTAAGGGAAATATGTCGTTAAACAGTCTGGTTGGGATGGGATCTAGCAGACGTGGATGGTTTGGATGAATCTATTATTTGTGACAATTCAAAGAGATCAACGTAATAAACATTTACTAATAAATGAAGCAAAGCAGAAGAAGCCAATCAGCTGATTGATTTCATTTAAGTTCAAAGGTCATGACTCATTTACCTGTGAGGAAAAGTGTCATATTATTCATATTATTATTAATAATAATAAAACCAGCAGCTTAGTGACTATATCAAAAAACATTTTAACTTTAAAGACAGGGAGACAAAAGTGAGACATTTACAAATTAATAGTTTAAAACTGTCTGTAAGAAAAACTTTCATTTGTAATTTTCTTTTTTCTACTTTATTATAATAAAATGAATTTTTTGTGATTTTATACATTCCAGTTTTTATTCATTAAATGAATCCTTGTTAACAGAACAGGCTTTATTTTCTCCGACACATCGACATCCTGACTCTTTCGCACTTCTTGACTGAAGCTCGTTTGATACTTTCCTCAGAGCGAGAACGAGAGAGGCACAGAAAGCGAAGTCACAGCGACTCTCCCGAGGCGGGCGACAAGCATCGCAGCCGGGACCGCAAGAGCCGGGACCGCCGCAGCTCCTCCCGGGACCACAAGAAGCACAGGTTTGGTCCTGAGAGCTCACAGATGCATGATGGGAGATTTCATGTGAAACCCAGTTGTGTTAAGCTACAAAATAAACTTCGAATAAAAATGTTTGTAGAAACTGAAGCTGTGATTTTTTTCTGAAGCCTTTAAACTCACAACAGCTGCATGCCTGGAGACATTTTCTGTCCTCACAAGCTCTGGGCCAGGCTCAGAACCGCAAAATTCATGTGGGCTCTCAGTAACGTCCAGCGTTTTTCTGAACTCTGCCTTCAGTCGAGTGGACGAACGAGGTGCGTTTCATTTACAGACGCAGCAACGATGAACAGAAGCGTTGGTTTGTCGCAGCTTGACAGGTTTCTGAGCTTCAATCAGTGCGAATCATTCCAAGTGTGCTCCGGTTCCCGCTCCACATGAAACCAGATGTTTCAGGCTTTAGGTCGGGGGCTCTTTGACCAGAACTAACAGGAAACAGAGTTTTTATGCCAACAACTAAAAAAGGTCTGGTTTTAGCAGTTTTCCTCTTATTTGCAAAGATGTGAACAACATCAAAGAGTCAGACTTGTGGGCAGCGTCGTGCTGGTAGCTTGTAGCCGCTTCGCTGCCATCTTTCTCTCAAATCCAGAATTTATCTGGAATTCCTTGAAGACAAGCTGCTGAGAAACACGAGCTGAGTCAGTCTGACAACACTAAGAATATTAAAGTAAATGGAAGCATTTATTTTTATTCTTATTATATTTTTAATTGAATTACACATCCAACAAATTGGCCTAAACATTTCCTTGCAAATGTCTTTTTATTGATTATTAGCTATATATTGATAGATATGGTACAAACCCATGCATGGCAATCAAATTTTAGCAGATTTTAAGCCACAAACAGACAACACACACACACACACACAACTAAACTGAGGTCAAATCAATAACATTTGCACAAAGTAGAAAAAAATATCATAATTAAATAATGCCATTTTAAATAACCCCATGACCATAAAATATATTATCTACGAATATGAAAAAAGAAGAATGAAATAAAAATAAAATTAATATAAAAAAAGGGAAAGAAGAGAGGAGGTAGAAGATTTCTCATGAAGAGTTAAGAAGGGGCGCCAAACTTTATCATATCTATTTTCAGACCCTCGGACAGTAAATGTTGTCTTTTCTAAGTCCATACAATTTCAGATATAGTGCGTAAGACTGATTTCCAAACTGGCCTAAATGTTAATACTCACTTTATTCACAGCAGGATACTTAATTGATTTCTCCACATTAAAAACCAAACTCACACAGTCTGCAGGGTTCATCGTTTAAAATGTATTAAAACTGATAAAAACTGTATTTCTTTCATTCTTTACATGGATCGGGTCTTTTCTTTGACCTTAAAATGTAAAAATCTGACTAAATGTTACAGATCGTTAGACGTTTTTGATTCATGTCACCCCGACTGGCCGGGAAAACCCCTCCAACAAACTTGAAGTGGCCCATGGGCCAGCAGTTGATGACCACAGCTGCAGCAGGTGATCGTTTTACTTCGTGAGCGTCGCGGTTGTTTTTATCGTAGATGCTGCTGTCGGTTCTGGATGTGTTTCACCTGAATGTTGGTTTACCTGCTGCCGTTAGCAACGCTCCACCCCTCTCCGAGCTTTGATTAGTTGATTTTCTGTGTTTAGCCACTCCCCGAGGCGAACGAGGAAGAAAAGGATTTGTAAATACTGGGATGTTCCTCCTCCGGGCTTCGAGCACATCACACCCGCACAATACAAAGCTATGCAAGGTACCAACAGAACCTTTTACCCTCCATGTTCTGCTGATCTTCAGGTACCTGCATGTCTGCTTATTATTATTATTATTATTATTAGTATTACCCCACTCACACACACACACACAATTTTAATTTCAATTTGGTTTATTTATTAAGCTCCAAGTCACAACAGAAGTTGTCTCAGAGCACTGAACAGAAACATTCTATATATATAATATATGTATATTATATATAAATATATATATAATATATATATATATATATATTTATATATAAAAATAATAATTTAACATTTTTTATCTGAGGAGCAGACTGCTTTGAGTTTAACTCCATCACAGCCTGACCCAGCAGGACCTCTGCTTCCTGTCCCTGCAGCTGCTGGTCAGATACCAGCCGTGGCTCTGCTGCCTTCAGCCTCCAGCACCGGAGCGGCTGCGGCGCCGACACCCGTTTCCATCGTCGGCAGCCAGATGACCCGACAGGCCCGTCGCCTTTATGTTGGAAACATCCCGTTTGGAGTCACCGAGGTAAGAACTGCACTGCTCTGTGGCCCAGGGGTTCCTGGTCCAGATGTTTCCTTGTTCTGGTCTCTGTTCCTGTTGTTCTCCTGGTCCAGATGTTCTGGTCTCTGTTCCTGTTGTGCTCCTGGTCCAGGTGTTTCCTTGTTCTGGTCGCTGTTCCTGATGGATTCCTGGTCCAGGTGTTTCCTTGTTCTGGTCTCTGTTCCTGATGGGTTCCTGGTCCAGATGTTCCCTTGTTCTTGTCTCTGTTCCTGATGGGTTACTGGTCCAGATGTTTCC